TTTGACCAAAAAATTTCAACTGTCTCCTGATGCTAAATATAAGTTTACTTTTTGTTTCCATTTTCTCTAAAACTTCGTCGTTATTCACAAAATGATGAGAATATTAGTCCAAACCTGAATAATGCAATTAACCATCGTTTGCTAAGCTGCTTGCCAATATCAAGTCTTCTACACAATGGATGCTGGACAATTTCTTTAGATGAAGAGAAAGCTTGAAGCAAGAGTGATGTGCTTCTACAGAATAATGCTGACCATACTTTGGAGGTAACATGCGAGCAACGATAACATTTTAAAGTCAATGGAAAAAAAAAGACACTCAGAATTTGAAAGTGACATTTGAAATATCTGGAACACGTAACGAGGAAAGGGTCAGGTGCGGGGGTCTTGAAGAATTCTGAGATTCTGAAGGCAAGAACGACAGAAGAGACTAATTTAACTAACGAGCTTTTGTAAATGGATGACAAAACAGTGAATGGTTGAGGGCGTATGATACGGAGACAAACGGAATGGAAAATTACAGAGAAGAGTCATGATCACCCTGAATAATCGCCTAAAGGAAGACTAATACTTTCGCATGCTATGATGTGTCTTATGCTGTAGTTTTGTTGAAGCTATATTGTTGGATATCGGTTAAGAAAGACCTTTGACCATACGTCCGCTGCATCAGAGAGTGAACAAAAATCGGAATGGGTTTTAGTACAAACAAGAAATGCATCCGGTGGCTAAAATATACAAGGTGCACAGGTGTCCTGAGCGGAAGAAAATGCGTTCTTGAGTGGGCGTATGCCGGAAGAGGTGTGGCCACGAGGTTATATTGGCGACATACTGGAAGAAGGCGTAACCACATGAAGTTGCGTGGGTGTCCAAATGTTATAAAACAATTCTAATTCTTGGCCTGCGCTAGAGTCTGGCTAGAGTTTCACCGAAGATTTGTTTCCGTCAGTTCCTGCGTGCGCGATCCAAACCTCTGTGATTTTCCCTCACTCTACTCATTCACCGCAACTCGAACAATATATATATATATATATATATATATATATATATATAAGTGAACATTGAAGTCAACACCCAGAGGCGTCAGGCTGTTTCATACTGGAAGCAATCGTCAGGCGGCCTGACGATTGCGTCTATGTTGCGTCAATGTTCATTTTGTATTTATGTTTATATACGCTCTATTTCTGATATTGAGCACTCAATCCCATAAATATAGCACACCTTAAAACTATATTTCTTCATATATATATATATATATATATATATATATATATATATATAAAAAGTGTTTGTCGCTTTATTTGTGTTCAGCAGCAATATACAACATTTTGAAATACATTTTTTTGATGTCAACGAGTACTCGTTGTCACTTTTATAATGCTCGTTGTAGTAGAGACTTTGTAATCGCAGATACAACTATAGTAACGCCGTTGCACAATACTGGTGTCAGACGCCTTCGAATAACACTCACACTAATAGTACTTGCTCGATAATACTCGCTCTGAAAGTAACCGCCGGACAGTAATGCGTATAGTGATCTGAATAGTAATCCGTATAGTGATCAGTAAAAATAGTATAGAGAATAGTATAGAGAGTAGTGACCCATATAGTAATAGAGAATAGTGTAGTAATAGTGATCAATTAGACGTCACGCTAATTCCCATATATATATATATATATATATATATATATATATATATATATATATATATATTCCTTTAGTATCACGTGATCTACCTATTCAAAATGGGATCGCCTGTGTTTGCTCTCTGGTGATCTGTGTTCAAACTGCAGTTACGGCAGCGACACTTTATTCCTATATAACACATTTTGATTAAAGACATTTTCGGATATTACAGTGCTTAATGTCCTGAAACTGTTCTTTCATATTGGTTGTTTGGCTGATTTTGGTTAGCATCATATCATCCTCTATGGCAGGAGGTGGCAAAACTTCTTAACGTAAGAGCCACATACGAGAAAGTTCAGACGTTTAACAGCCACAAGACATGAACAAAATTTACACATACGTTTTTGTTACATACACAGTAAATTTATGTTTTAATTCGTTGGGGTCTCACTTCCTACCCAGCAAATGATCGTAAAGCTTGGAATTTTTTCTTTACCTTTTAAATTCACTGTGATGAGAGGAATTAAATCAACATATTTTCTCGAGCCACCTATTAAAGGTGATAAAGCCACAAGTGGCTCGCGAAATCCGTTTTGGCCACCACTGCTCTATGAGTTATTTAATGTCCATATGTAAATAAATTGAACAGTTTTATTGCTTCAGCTACAGATAAAATGCTTTGCTATTCATGCTGCTTTAATAATGTATTGTTGCTAAATTTACTACAAATAGGCATTGTTGCTAATGTTTTTTCTTCTTTTTAACATAAAAATGTATACTGGAATTTTTCTATAAACATGTATTTTGATGCTTTCATAGTGTTTCTTTTGAGGCTTCGCTATTTGCGAATAGCTGGGACCCTAACAGGTGCTAACGCCTCTAATCATGATGGACCTGGGAACAACACCAAATTAGAGGTGCTTCCACGCTCCTCAAGACCTAAAATCTCCCGATGAGAAGCCTTGATACCGGATGTATCATCATAATCAGGACTGGTGATTACTTGAGATGTGCCAGTTCAGAGAGCTCAGTTTTGAATTTGAATGTCTTATACATGATTCACGCAATCTGTCTATCACAAATACATTCAACCTGTTCCCGCGTTTCATGTTTTGGCGTTCAAGGTCGCATAAGCTGAACATTCGTAGCTAGATATGGAAGGGGTGAATCGAGGGAGCAAATTGTCTCTTTCTATCGGGAAAGCAACATGATAGTGTGTCCGTGTGGTTCTAATCATATAAAAGAGACGAAAGCGCAAGCGCTACCTGTAAGTCCGATTAACTGTGATAGATTTTGAATTTTTCATTTCTTTCAAACGGCCAACGTTTGCAATCCAGTTTGCCTCTTAGCTTTCAACCGGACTGGATGGGCAACTCATTTATTCCGTGCACAACCCATACGCGGGCCGGAATATCTTATTTTTTTCAACAATGTCGACTGCACCCTCTACCAAGACCTTTCTCCTTTTGAAGCTGCCAACAGGTCGGACCCTTTTCTCCGTTTTCTACCAGAAGACGTTTTAAGACACACGACACTGTCGTGAGCAAAAGTTCGTATTCAACTAATGGCGTATTTTTTTTATCCCTCGTCAGGGGCCCTGTATAGGCAGGATATCCTATGAACGAACAAATTGCTAATCACAGGTCAGGACCTTTTCTCCGTTTTCTACCAGAAGACGTTTTAGAGACACACGACACTGTCGTCGGCAGAAACTTCGTGTTCAACAGGTGACTGTGGCTTCGAACCAAATAATACAAGGGATAGTATTACCTCTGAACAAAAACATTTTTCGTCTTTCTCTTTGGGCTCGCCGTAAACCATTCTTGCTTCGTCTCTCCCTCGCTAGATGCCCATCCAGAACATTTACCAGCGGCCAATACAATATTCCTTTGAACGAAAACATTTTCGTCTTTCTCTTTTGGCTCGCCGTAAACCATTCTACAAGACCATGCTTCGTCTCCCTCGGCTAGATGCCCACAGCAGTCCAGAACATTTACCAGCGGTCAATTCAATATTTACCGAACATTCTTTATAACTTTGAACCTGTACATTAAAAATATGCATAATCACTTACAACTTAAAATATCCACAGTGAGCATCTGTGCGCACCTTCTTTTTTCCGGAACTGTATAAAACTTTCTTTTCCCGCCTTTGGCCATCTTGTTTTTATTTTGGCTTTTTTCATTGATCCCGACCTAAACGTGTTACTGTTTGATTAAAGTTTACTCATGTTTTATAAACTGTCTTTGGCATTTTTATTCCGGCTATCATAATATATTTTTATTTTATGCAAGAAAATTGATGTTCATTCACGCATATTTTATTTTTTTTTATTTGCTTGTATCAGTAGTTTAGTGTGGTCCTGGTACAAGGCCACTCAGTATAATCAGCACTACACCCTTTCCGCAACAAAATCAGTAAAACAGTTTTGTCCAAAACTATTTTATTAAACTAAAACTAGTTGACAAAATATATTTCAAAATAGTACAATATATAGATATTTTTTTTAAGAATAATGATAATAATAATTTTACCGTACAACCCTTCTGTCAGAAACGCAATTCCACAAGCAACACACGTTATTCTATCGCTATTTCCATAAATAATATTCTAACGAGCTACATTCCATTAGTTCAGACTCAGACTCGTCCTGCTAAATACACAGTCGGGAGCTATGCTCATTCTCGTCGTATTACATTTGTAAGAAGGCGGTTCCATTTACACAGCTTCCTCCCCATACTCATTCCTTTGAGGAACAGACACCCGAAGGGACGCATCTCCGAGTCCTACAATCGTGATATCTTAATGCCGAAGGAGAACAGTTACCTCACGTACGAGTCCGCATAATTGACACTTACTTCCCTTCTAGTCTATACAAAAGTCGCATTTAGTAACGCTTTACCATTATTTACTCTTGATCCTGGTTATTAATATTTAGTTAAAGAAAACAGTATTTTGGAAATATTACAAATTATTTACATTGTTCGGACTATTGTCCTCATCTCTGTCACCATATTTATTACAACGTTTCGGCCGTTGTAGGCTCCGGCGTTCTTCGGGTGGTTGGCATGTCGAACTGAACTCTTTATTTCGCTCACTGAGGTAGACTGTTCTAGTTCCACGTCAGTTATCTCCTGTTAATTCCCCTCTTCAAGTTCTCCACTGCCTTAGCCGGGTATTGAACTCACACACTTTGGGTTTTGTCACAGGATCTAACTAACGCCTTTATCCACTGTGCCATGTGTCCGAAACGTTGTAATAAATATGGCGATAAAGATGAGGACAATAGTCCGAATAATGTAAATAATGAACATAATACCTCATTCCAGAAATATAGACAGATACTATTATAAATTAATTCAAGATGCGCTCAAAATAAATGTCTAAATTAGTTCCCGAGAAGAAAACATCAGACCACGAACAGTCCCGAAATGTAAAATTTAGTTTGTGTTTTGCGTAAATCAAACATATCGCCTGTTGGAAGAGTTGCCAACCTTTGGTCATTTTTTTTTTACACTAAGGTTCACTCTGTACTCGTGGTAATGTGTCACTTTTCTTTCTCTATGTACAAATAGGTTTGTATCCAGCTGATTTCACACCATTTAAGAAATTCGATGTCTCACTAGTGTGCAGTTTTCCCAATCAACAAAACTACTGTTTGAATTCAAACAAATGTAAAATCTAAAAAGATAAAGACGTAAATCTTTAATAATAATAATAATAATAATAATAATGATAATGATAATAATAATGATAATAATAATAATGATAAAAATAATAAGAAGAAGAAGAAGAAGAACAACTTGAAATAGAAATCTCGAAAATGTGACACATGGGAACATCAACAATCCCTGTTGTAGTTGGTGCCCTAGGACTGATTGGAAAAGATTCCAGTAGACTAATTGAAGGGATTCCTGGAAATCCATGCCTCAAAGAGATACAAAAAATTGTTCTCACAAGTACAGCCCACAATTTACGAAGGGTTTTATCTATGTAATATTTATTTATTTATTTATTTTTTGTCAGTAGAAAGTGTCATGATGCCATTTCTAACTTTAGGTCCCTGGGCGGGACCCGGAAAGAAATGTGTAAATGCCAGAAATCAAAGAAAATTTGACTATCATGTCTTTGAGTGAAAATTTAAAAATATATCTTTTAGCGGCTAGTAGGCTGAGAGATGACCGGAAAAGTATAACTTTTACTGTTTTGCTTCTACCCCTTTGTTTAATGAATTCAATCTGTAGTATAAGTCCAGCCTACCCCATAAAATTTGATAAGTATCTGTCGTTGGCGACGGAAAATTGAACATTTGTGGAAGGTCTCTTTTGCCATGCTCCGAAGTAGTAAGAAACGGTAAATGTAGAATTTATTTATTTTTTTTATTTTTTTTTTGAATGATACTTTTCGTCTAGTTTGCTATGATTGTAAATTCTTTTGACTCAAGCTAATTCTTTCCCTTTCAGCTCCCTCTTTTTTTTTTTTTTTTTTACCGTATATTTCAATTTTTCTGTCCCCCACCCCGGCCTTAAGCGGACATCCGTGTCCATTTTTCACTTTCTTTTTTCACTTTTTCTCTCTTACTTTAAGCATCCCAAATTTCTGTCGCTGCGTATATGTGTACGTGTTTACTAATATCTGTCTCTCTCTCTCTCTCTCCGGTGTATATATATATATATATATATATATATATATATATATATATATATATTTTTGCATGTGTATGTATCAGCATTGACAGGGATCATATTGTATTTATTTTTATCCCTTTTTTTTCTTAAGTCTATATACTAAAATCTATTTATCCCCCTTGGAGAGGTCACTCGGACGTATACTAAGTTAAAACTTAGTATAGTCTACCCCACTGAATACCACACAATCTTTTGAACTATTCTACCTTCGTTATATCAATAAATCCACAATCTCATTATTTGGGCGTGCTCCTGGATCTTCTTCGAGACTCGTCCTACAGCTGGTAAACTGAACATAATTACCCCTTGGCGGTCAAGGTTAAAACGCATCTCTACTAATTTCAATGAATACGAATAATATTTCATACCAGATCGGCCGTCAACCGGGACAACAAGGGCCGCGTCCCTCAGAGAGGAACCAGTCTGAGAACAAAAAGTCTGCCACTGGAACAAATTCTTCCACACACGAAGAGACACTTGGTCACCAAAACCGGATTATTGCCAACCTTGGACCAATTGACTCTATACCAAATCGACTAATAAAAAGTAAACGAACGAAATGGAGCCGCGAAGAATATCGACAAGTCATGACATCCTTCTTCACTCTACTCGAAAACCCAGCAAAGAACACCACCAATCAAACATACCAAATATGGAGAAGTACGGTGGGAAATGATGTAAGACCTAACCTCAATCCAAACATGCTTGCCAATGTCCGTAGGGACATTCATGCGAAACAACAGACTCTCAAAGTCAGAAATAGATAAGATAAAATTAGATATAAGACAAAATACTATGACTCATCACTCAAACTCTATTGAGACGAATGTAGAAATAAGGAATGCAACAGAGGATGAGGTGGACGCTAAAGCGAATGAAATACGAAATAATCTCCCAGGAAATGAAACCCAAGACTCTACCTTAAACACAACCTACAGTCCTCCAGAAACTGTACCTAGAGTCATCTTCAGTGACAATAAGAATTCCTTGAAAACCACGAAGCTGAAATCACCGAAGCGAAAAATGACGTCATCCAAGTACTCAGCAGAGTAACTTTCATACAATTGTCAGACAGTGACCAGCTCCCCAAAATCCATATGACGAACTCTAACAGGCACATCGTGAAAATATACAATGCTGCTCTGGAAACACTGTTAACAGATAAACCACCGGGAAACATCACAGAAGTTAACAACGACATATACGCAACAGCTTTAGCAGCGACTCGGAAGCTTGGGGTCAAGACAATAAATAAAATTAACAGACACAGAGAACCAGCTTGGAAAACCAAACTGATACGAGAAATACAACAAATCAGATGTGAGCTTTCTATATTAGATGAGCTCACCAGAAACCCTAATATTTCCACACGTAAATTCAAAAAGATCAAGCGGAAATATAACATTAAACCTGAATTGATATTCCATCAATCAAGGAAATGCTGAAGCAGAAACTTCAGCTAAAGGCGCAGAGAACAAGACGATACGAAAAACGTTGTAGGTTCTATCGCCAGAATAAAATATTCCGAACAGATCTTAAGAAATTTTACAGGGAAATTGGAAAAACACCTATACATGTCGAAAGGCCACCATCGATTGATAATGTACAGACATTTTGGGAAAATATCTGGAGCAGCCCAAAGGAATATAACCCAAATGCAGAGTGGATACGGCGTGAAGAAGAACGAATGCTGGATACACCTCTGCAAGAATGGGAAAATATATCCACAGATGATGTTAGGCAAGCTCTAACGAAATCCCCAAAATGGAAATCCCCAGGAAGTGACAAGTTGCCCAATTTCTGGCTGTATCATCTCTCATCTACCCATGAAATTCTTTCAAAAACATTATCAACGCTTGTAAATAATCCCAATAAAATCCCGGAATGGATTACTGAAGGTATGACATACCTCATACCAAAAACAACTGAAACAGACGACCCGAAAAATTATAGACCGATAACATGTCTCTCCACAACGTATAAGTTGATCACGTCTGTATTGACGAACCGTACTTATTCCTTTTTCGAAACAAGCAGCACTCTCCCGCTGGAACAGAAGGGATGCAGAAGAGGTTCATATGGCTGCAAAGATCAACTTCTGATAAATAAAATGATCCTGGAAAATTGCAGGAGACGACGCAGGAATCTTAGTACAGCGTGGATTGATTATCGTAAAGCCTTTGATAGTGTTCCACATTCTTGGATCCTTAAGACTTTGGAAATGTACAAAGTCTCCCCTGTGGTATTAAATTTCCGTAAGCACAGCATGGGAATGTGGAACACCAAACTATACCTTAGTCACACTGGGAGCACTGCCATATCCAACCGTCTGAATATCCGACGTGGAATCTTTCAAGGAGATTCCCTGTCACCCCTTCTGTTTTGTTTATCCTTAATCCCTCTTACACATGAATTGAACAACAGTAGCTATGGTTACAAAATAAATAAGAAAATATTCAATCACCTACTCTACATGGATGATTTCAAACTCTTTGCCAAAGACGACAATGAGTTGAAAGGCCTCCTCAATATTGTAAAATACTTCAGTGACGACATAGGTATAGACTTCGGATTAGATAAATGTGCAAAAGTAACTTTCAAGAAAGGTAGAATTACAGAAACACCCTTAATAGATTTAGATTTTGTCACAAAGTATTAGGGAACTGGAGCATGGTGAAGATTATAAGTACCTAGGAATTAGCGAAGAAGATGGCATACAACACCCCCAAATGAAGGAAAAAAATAAGAAAAGAGTACTACAGGCGTGTACGTCTGGTACTAAATACTGAGCTAAACTCGAAGGAGGCAGAGGATTAGTTCAACTAGAACTGTCCTACAAAACTACAACAATTGGCCTCCAAAGATTTTTGGAAACTACAGAAGACTGGATGATGGTATGCGTCAAGGAACATGAAAGTAGTAAGCGTTTCTACTCCGTAATGAAAGAAGCCAACAAATTCAAAATGGAGTTTCAAATGGACGTAGAGATGCAACTACAGCACAATACACCGGCTGAAACTGCAAAATACCTAAAAAAGACAGCAAAGACGAATGCAACCGACCAGTTACAGAAGCGATGGCAAGATAAACCGCTTCATGGCCAATACTCTGCCCGTACCAAACAAGCTGACGTAGACAAAACCCGTACCCATCAGTGGCTACGTAGTGCAGGGTTGAAAGCTGAATCTGAAGGTCTTATCCTTGCTGCGCAGGACCAATGCTTGCTAACTAGGAATTATGAAGCACATATACTAAAATATTGTGTCAGCCCAAAATGCAGATTCTGTGATAAATATCCAGAAACGATTGATCATCTTGTATCAGGTTGTACGGTGTTGGCACCCACTGAATATAAAACCCGACATGACAGAATGGGCCAATATCTGCACTGGAAAATCTGCAACTTCTACGGGAAGAAAACTGAAAGAAACTGTTATGAACACCACCCAGACCCGGTTACGCAGATAGGACCTGTTACAATTTTATGGGATTACGCAATACACACTGACAGAACAATCAAGGCCAACCGGCCAGATATTGCTATTAAAGACCACAAACAAAAACGGTGCCTCCTTATTGATATGGCTGTCCCTGCTGACTGCAATGTATCTTTGACGATATTCAAAAAGTTGTCAAAGTACAAGGACGTTGAAATAGAAATCTCGAAAATGTGGCATATGGGAACATCAACAATCCCTGTTGTAGTTGGAGCCCTAGGACTGGTTGGAAAAGATTGCAGTAGACTAATTGAAGGGATTCCTGGAAGTCCATGCCTCAAGGAGATACAAAAAATTGTTCTGACAAGTACAGCCCACACCTTTATCTATGTAATTTAATTCTTTTTTTTTTTTTGTCAGTGAAAAGTGTCATGACGCCATTTCTAACCTTAGGTCCCTGGGCGGGACCCGGAAAGAAATGTGTAAACGCCAGAAATCAAAGAAAATAATAATAATGATAATAATAATAATAACTTGGAAGCCCCGTGATAATTCAACAGGTTTCATTCCAGTTCTAATCATCGCTTTTAAAAACAATAAATACTACCGAAGAGGGAGGCTTGTTTAAAAAACTGTGTCATTGGAAAAAAAAACGTCCTTTTGACACTATGTCTTACTTCGGACCCTTTTCTCCTTATTTGATAAAATATGTATATTTTAGAATAACGTTGATTCCTAAGAGAATAATCAACAGGTAAAGTGAACCTACACTACTTGAACCAAAGGTCGAATGGAAGTTAAATGAGTTTTCATTAATTTAAAAACTCACCTAAACTTATTGCGCTGAATAATATCGAATCTTCGTTTATACGCCAAACGCATTCTACAACTTCCTGTTTTTAGTACTTTATTATTTTTTACCATTTACCATCACTTTCCTCTTTCACTTTCCAACTCTTGACTTCACTATATCCTTTAAGTATCAAATTCTACATGATTTCTTTCCTTATTTAGCGTTCCAGAATTTGAAATTTTGGAAATTTAGATTTTCTTGTTTTTATTTTCCCTAAGACTTATTTATTATGATTTCAAAAGACATCGTCATATAGTTAATATTGGTTGCTATCATAGAATGCTTATGAGAGAAACCTTTGGATATAAGTAGTGAAAATAATGTATAATGATTGTGAATCAAGTATACTATACACTTAAAAACCCGAAGCAAGAGTAATAAAATAGTAAGCTGCACATATATCCCCTATCATCAAATAACGACCACCTGAAGATGACCATATATCTTATGGTCGAAACTATTGTCTATAATGATGTCTTTAATTATAAAAGGTGAAGGCCATAAATCAAATAAGTCACTCGCATATTAACCCCATGTTTAATAATTGCCAAAGCTGCTATTGAAATATAAAGTAAATTTATTCTATGTGTCGGGTCCCTTCTGGACGTAGGGGAACGTGGCCCTCCACAGTTTCCTGTCCTTTGTATCTCTTAATAAATTTTGTCTTTTTGTTATTTCCCCTAAACCTTGTTCCGCCATCCATCCACTCAAGCACACTAAGTAAGTTATGCGTTGTTTTCCTCTTGATATCCCTCCGCCCTGCGTGTATCAGATTTTCCAATCCCCCTTTCCTCATTATGTGTACTAGAAATTTTAGCTCTCACTCCCTGATGTTAAGTATAAGTTTCTTTTTTCTGTCCATTTTGTGTGAAATTTCGAAGCTGCTCGCATTTTTGCTCCATGGTATCCTCAGCATCCTTCTGTAGAACCATATTTCTGCTGCTTCAAGTCTCTTCTTCATCGGTGAGGCGATTATTAATTAGTAAGAATTGTATCATTAGAAAACATTATTATCACCAAAAATCATAAATCTTACAATCTAAAAATATTTTTTGGATTTAAATAACCTGTAAAGGGTTGGTAAGTCGTAAAAAATGAATCATTTAATCAACAGTGAGGCAATTTCGGATACGAAACCTGGTTTCTAAATTAGCTTGCAAATAGTCTCTGTTAATATCCCATTTCCCTGTCCCAAATTCATCATTTCGCCTGGAAATTACGCTGTCTATTGTGCCACGATTAATTTGCTTTGTTCAACCGATAAAAATTACATATTTCCCGAGATCTTAATAACAAGAAAATGGAAATTGGTATTTGAAACAGGAGGTTAATGTTTGTCAATAGATAGATTGCTTTTATCAATTTAATCCGATGGGAACTTTGATCAAAACAATTCATCCCACAGTAAATATTTACATATTTTCTCGTTTATATTTATTCTTCAGTTTTATAGCTCTACAATCTATCTATCTATCTATCTATCTATCTATCTATCTATCTATCTATCTATCTATCTATGTATCTGTCTATCTATATATATATATATATATATATATATATATATATATATATATATATATATATATATATATATATGGACGGATGGATGTATATATATATATATATCGAGAGAAATCTATCTACCTATCGTCTTTCCTGTTCCTACCTACCTACCTATCTATCTATCTATCTATGTATATATATATATATATATATATATATATATATATATATAATCATTTATTCAAATTATAACATAAAAATGTTATAAAATCACTACAAAAATAGCCATTTAGTTTCAACGCTCCTGGTGTCTTCTCAAGTGATGGTGTAGAAAAATAATGTAGAAAAAGACGATGGACACAAGAGCAAGACTAATCCAAACAGATAAACATGTTGAATTGAATATAGTCTAATGTTAATTATTTTTTATGAATATGTTCTGAAGATGGTCTATTATACCGAAACGTCCGACGTTGACATTATATCAACATTAAAACAGCATAATTGCATATTAGGATTTTTGTTTGTTTTTTCCGTATATTTTTTTCATATATATATATATATATATATATATATATATATATATAAAGGTATATATATATATATATATATATATATATATATATATATATATATATATATATATATATATATATATATATATATATATATATATATATAAAAGTAAACTAGTAAGTATTAGATGGGTCACAGTATAGGATGTGCGTGTGGTGCAATGGATGAATGCTAGGATTGACAAATCGAACAGCCGTGTCCGAATTCCAGTCAGGCTCGTTATGTTTACTTACCTGGAAATAACCATGCGAAAGGTATGAATACATCTCATATCCACCCGACTCTGAGTTAAATACTAAATCAACAAATACTATCACCAAAATCATTATTATCTCCAAAAAATTCATACAACACAAAAATGTTTCGGCTTTAAATAACTTGAAAAACCGTAAAGAAATAAATCAGCCAATGAATATCTATGTATCTATCTATCTATCTATCTATATATATATATATATATATATATATATATATATATATATCCATGTTGTTATCAACAAACACTATTGTTTCACTCTGTCACCCTCTTTGCCTCTTTAAACTTATACGTCTCCCGCTTAACATTTTTCTTGTGTTTTTTTTTTAAACAAATAGAAAAAAGTAAGTGATGAACAATTTTGGTTCTCGCCAGTCGAGGTGTAACTAAATGCACCGAAACGAATTTGCATCTTTTTCGTAAGTCGTTTTTTGTCTATATGAAAAAATTAATACATATATATATTAAGAGATAGAAAAATGTTCCTATAAGCGCAAATGAAGACAAGACTATATGGTTCTATCGACTAATACTCAGGATATCATGCTGCGTAGAATGCATATTTTATGAAATGTAGTATCTATGTGAAAATCTCTCCGTAAAATCAGTCAAGGAAGATTTCTAAGACATATTTTTTAATCATTCCAACCCAATTTTAGAAATTTTACAGATTTTCAGCTTTAGAATTTGTGCTGACCGGCTGAAATTTTGCTCTCCTTCGAATTTTCTTGATGATTTTCCTCAATGCTTCTGGGGTTTGTTTTTATCACCGTCCTTTTTAAATATGCCTCATTATGACAATAACAGATTTTTTTTTCACCTGGAGCAAGGGGATAATTTCGCAAAGACGCCAGGATTTACTCAGAGGATAAGAACAGAGAATAAAATCATTTTAGTGAGGAGCAACGACAATAAAAGAACAGTCTCCAGGACGACAGAATATAGCAATTGACGTTGCATTTAACTTTTTGAAGACCGTGGGGGGGAAAGGAAGTAAGAAATCGGTTCCCACCGTCGAGAGACGCGGAAAAAGAAACTGCTAGAATAGAACTTACGGTTAAATCTAGCAATTTTATCAGGAAAACGATGATGAGGAAAGCTGGTCCATTGAATTTAACACTCACAGGATATAGTGAGGTCAAAAGATGAAGTGGGGAAATACGAGTAATATGAATAGATTTTGCGTGAATGGTTGGCAAAAGAAGGACAAAGACGGTTGATAAAAGGCCAACAGCTATTTAGGTAGAGAAACAGAAGACAGAAAATTAAGAGAACTGCTAACGCTCACGTTCTCAAAGTGCATAGGCGGTTAAAAAAGAGAAGCGTTCAAGTATATACGAGGCATACACTATAATTTTCCTTGATTTGTAGCTATTTGTTATGGCTTAATTTTCATCAGTAATATCAAAGCCCTTAGCGAGTGACAACAGACACATAATTGCTTGATGGAATTATGCAAACAATTGAATTAGACATTTTTTCCGAAGATAGCGATTAAAGCCGCAAGCATCATTCGATTGAAATATTTAATATTGGACGATTTACTAGCGCGCGCGGTTGTTAATACTTTGTTTATGAGTTATTTCGTGTTCATCTATATATATATATATTTTTATATATATTATGTTAAATGAAATGTGCTTCCTATAGCTGACATATTTTGAACGGCCACAGCTTCCTTTCCACTATAACTCCACAGATGCGCCTCCATTTTGATTACATTTGAAAATATTGAGTAAAAACAAACAAGCGGACTACTGTCTCTTATTTACAGCGCGTAAATTTCTTCTTAAAAATACATACTCTCTAAAAAAATATATAAAATAAATAAAATATAAAAAATAAAATAAAAAAATAAATACTCTCTCTCACTATATATATATATATATATATATATATATATATATATGTGTGTGTGTGTGTGTGTGTGTGTGTGTGTGTGTGTGTGAAGAAATATAGTCGTAAGATGTGCTATATTTCTGGAATAAAGTGCTCAATATCAGAGATAGAGCGTGTGGAAATTTAAAAGTGAACATAAAAGTCAATATTTAGAGGCGACAGTGTGTTTCATGTTAGACGCATTCGTCAGGTGGCCTGACGATTGCGTTTAACATGAAACAGACTGTCGCCTCTAAGTGTTAACTTTCTATGTTCACTTTTAATATATATATATATATATATATATATATATATATATAAAAAGGAGAGAAAGAGAATAAGAATATGGCGATTAAGAAAGGAAGAGGCTGAACGAAAAAGAGAGGCGAGGTGAGAGATTAAAACAAACAGGGTGGTTTAAGGAATAACAGGAGACGAATAATGTCCCTGAAGGAAGCACAAAGGAAGACAGAAAAGAAATATGGCGTCTGCTGTAGAAAGAAATGTAAAAGCATGTTTATTCATCTCTTATTGAACTAGACAAGAGGTTGGACATAAAATATTTTTAAGGGTCGATATTTGAGTTTTCTTTTTTTTTAAAGATATTTTTCAATCATTTCATCCCAAGCACGGCGATGATGCCATTAAGATAGAAAGGGTTATTGTGAGTTCAAGAAAATGAGAGGACTTTACTGAGAAGAAAGGAAATATAAGAACTGGTTTCAGAAACAAAAGTTTGCGAATGACATTGAATTAAAATTTTTAAAGATGTTCGGTGGCAGGGAAGTAAGAAACAAAAAAAATATTTCCAGGTCAGATTAGATCACTCGCTAAGGACTTTGATATTACCGATGAAAATTAAGCCATAACAAATAGCTACAAATCAAGGAAAGTTGTAGGGCATGCCTCGTATACACTTGAACTCTTTTTTAGAGCCTATGCACTTTCATAACATGAACATTAACAGTTCTCGCCATTTTCTGTCTACTGCTTTTCTCCCTAAGTAGCTGATGGCCTTTTATCACCCGTCTTTTCCCTTTTTTTGCCAGTCATTCACGCAAAATCCGTTCATTTTACTCGTATTCAGATTCACTGTCAATGTTTTTCCCGAAACTATTGTCAGAACTGAGCCGCATAGACAGATGTTTATTGAAAGTCAAATGGTATTCTTTCTCTTGTATAGTCCGCATTCCCAAACTGACGAACTCCATCTACCGGATTTAAATTTACGACATCTTACGTCATTCATGCGTTTGAGTTACCAAGGAAGAGAGCTCATTAGAACAACTGTCATAAAAATATTTTCATAAAAGACAGAGGAAAGCCACGTCGCGGTGGTGGGAAAGTGAATGAAAACGTAATGCCAGATCAGGAACGAAAATATTACAGATCCTTCTTTGGATTTTGACGTGAGTCTCTGGAATATATAGCGTCAGATTAAATATGGCAGAAATATGAAATACTCGGACGGATGGTAGAGTTATAAATGTGCAAGATGGATTCCGACGGACAAAACTGTCTGGCACGACGCAGTGAACTAACTTTCAACTGAGCAGACCCAGCAATTCATTTAATGTCAGCAGAAGACGTGAAACCAACAAAACGCAATATGTTACTCGCCTAGAGGTTAGCAGCAAGCCAAATCAACCGTAAAGTGATGAGATAAACTGTGTTATATACAAAGAGGCTGCGATGGATAAAGTGTTGATAAATACTACCACTATCCTTGACTTCATTTCATGTTTTGTG